AACATGGAATTTGTGAGCTGTTACTCAAGAATAAACCAGGTTCACTCTTGGCAGGGCAATGACAAATCTGAGAATACAACCTTAAAAGGGAAATAACCTTACAGTTAGCATTACGTTAAATAGAGTAACAGATCTGTGGAACATAGGTCTGAACATATTTTGCTGAAGTTTATTTCTAGACCAGTTACTGGGTCTCAATGTAACTGCCTTCATTTCCAAATCAGGATAGATAACCCACCAGTACTGTGAAAACATCACAGCCATGCCACTGCTTTTAGACTTTGTCCCTTCCAGCTCCCTGCCCACCCCATTAGAACATAACTGGTATTGCTGTGCCTTCAAAGTTCTTTCTTAAGCATGTTGCAACCTCGAGAATGAATCAAGTTTTAAAATCTTTAAAACAAAAAATGACCATGAAACACAGATGTTGGAGGAATTAGTGGCTCCAGAAGCCAATGCCAAAAGCAATGGGAGCTACATGTATTACATATGACCGTTGTCCATCTGCCAGTGCTGCTGGCTGGCTGGCTTTTGGTGACGACTCTATTTTGTTGTTACTATTTCTGCTTTGAACAAATATCCTGATAGAATCAGTCCCTAGAACAAACTTTTTGTCGGAGTGAAACAACAAATCCTACTAATCTGCACGTATCACAACCTATGGACATAGGTTAGCATTTATATTGAATTTTTCCACATACATCGGGTATTTCAGAGCATTATTTATTAAGTACTTGAATTGTAACCACAAGATGTAATGTAGGAACTACAGTAGGCAGTTTGTACATAGCATGCTCTCAGAGGGCAATATGATAATGATCAGTGAATCTGTTTTTGTGCTGTTGATTGAGGTATTAATAATGAACATCAGGGATAGCTCCCCTGGTCACTTTCAACATTATGCTTTGGCATTTGTCACACCCACCCGAGAGAACAGAGGGGATTTCAATTTAAAACCTCATCCAAAAAATAACAGCTCCGGTATGTGAGCCCGCAATTTCTAACTCAGGTGAGTGCGTTACCAACTGGGCCTATTACTGTTCTTGTGCAGGGTATGACCAATAAGTGTGTCATGGCACAGAGCATAGGCCTTTAGAAAACTGTAGATCATAAAAACCTATACAGGAGAGAAATCACCGAAGAGAAATCAGATGTTGGAAGACCACGTTATTTTGCTGTGTGGCATTGCTACCTTAAGACAGAGTCAGAGCACAGACACAGGCCCTTAGGCCCAACCAGTCCTTACTGAACATTATCCCAAACTAAACTAGTCCCACCTGCCTACTCCTGGTCCATATCCCTCCAAACATTTCCTATTCACGTACTTGCCTATCATTGTAGAAACGCTTTATCTAAATCTCCCATTCCACCTCCCTTCCTTGTCCTGTGACCAAGATAAATACAGCTTCAAAAGTATTCACCAGTTCCATCCCACCTACCATTGAGAGCAAAGCCTGGGTACAGACAGCTGCAACTAGCTTGGTACCTAAGCTTTTAAAGGAATGAAAAGACTTGATACGCCATCTTGTTGTAACTCAAAAATATCCCACTCCATGTCATGAAAAGTGACTTACTTCAAATTGCAGTTAAAATTACAAAGATTAAGCGCAGCAGCCATTTTGCCTCGAGCTTTTGTTGAAAATATTGACTGAAGGACAATGCTCTTCAAGGTCACCCTTCCATGCCTTGTGATCTTAAACATCTATCTGAATTACGGAGGGAGACAACAGCGGGTTAAGAAAACGCCACTGGGCCGGTCAAGTTTGTGTTTTAAATTCACAAGCAGGAACTGAATACCCTTTCACTGGCTGAGACTATTACTAACAGACCCCAAGGTGACTCAGGAAACTGCTCTCTAAAGCATTTCCAACTTTCAGAAATCAAACCTTGCATCTACAAAGCTCTCTAAAATATTGTGACAGAACAATGAACTGCTTAACTGAAATAAAAACAGAATTCTACAGATGGAGATCTGGAATAAAAATAAAACACTGCAGAAACTCAGATGGTCTGGAAGCATGTCAAGTGAGAACAGTAACATTTCAACATTTCACTGAATCTTTGAAGCTTCTTCGGAACTGTGTAATTCAATTTGGTTTTGCAGCAACCCAGGTGGTGGTTTTCTCCACTCTACTGCTAAATCTTCTGACAATTGCTAGAGTAGTGACAGGCATGACAAGTGAAGGGGTCATAGATTTTATTCAAAGTAACCCTGCCAACGCAAAATCAAATAATATTTGCAAAATCCTGTTTTTTGAAAATACAAATTGAGCAAATTAATTTTCCAACCGAGTCCTGTCATAATGGGTTTCCTCATTATCACTGGCTCAAGCCATGCCACAGACAAGACCATCTCACTGAAATCAGTGGAGAGACCGGAATTCCACAAGTTTACACGTGTCAGCTGCTTCTTTCTCCACAATTAGCCAGCTCTGGGTTACAATACAAAAAAAAAGCTACCCTTCAATTACTAATTGCAGGACAAGGGGAGAAATGCATGGTAATTACAGCACAGAACCAGCCCAATAAGGCCAACAGATCTTGACTGGCACTAACACTCCCAACAACTCTTCAAGCAAATCAGGATAACCTTTTCTTCCCTTCTCCCTCAGTCAGCTGCTTCTTAACCACATCTATCATGTTCACCCCAATCACTCCTTGGGGCAGCAAGTACCGCATTCTAACCACACTCTGGATAAAGAGGTCACCCCTTGGTTCTTAAATGAATTGCTGGGATTTTTATATTTATACTCCACTTCAGACTCATGAAACAGGAAAACACCTCTGCATCTACTATATCAAACCCCTTCATAATGATAAAGACTCCTAGTAGATCATCTCTCCATCTTTTTGCTTCCAGTGAAATAAGCTGTAGGCAGCTGCAGAGTCTAATGTTATAAAGGGTGTTATCTGGGATCACTTCAGCACTCTTATCACCTGACATATGTACAACATGGGAGGAGTGGGTGGCCACTCAGCCCCTGGAACTTATTGCATGTTGGAGCAGACTGATTTGCTTATTCTATTTTATCACCACTCATGATAATCTTTCACCACCACCCCCCAACTCACATTCATCAAGAAGCTAACTACCTCTGCTTCTACTCTCATTTGAAGACAATTCGAAAATCTCATGACCCGATGTGAAAAAAAATTTCTCCTCATCACTGTCTCCAATGACCACTTATTTTTCAAAAGGGACTTTTAGTTCTACATTCTCCAACGTCTACCTTGTCAAGCCTACTCAGGATCTTAGCTCCTGTTATCTTCAGTTCAAAGAGGTGTAGGTTAAGCGGATTGGACAAGGTGAATTACCAATAGCATCCAGGGGTGTACAGACTCGGTGGCTGAGCCATGTGAAATGCAGGGTTACAGTGATAGGGCAGGGGGTGGGTCTGGTTGCAATGCTCTTTGGAGGGTCAGTATGGATTTGATCAGCTGAATGGCCTACTTTTGCACTGTAGGGATTCTATGATTCTATAACTAAAGCTCAACCCAATGAATCTAATCTGATCCTTTGTAAAGTGTTTCTGTAAAAAAATAAGGCTCTTTCTACTGAAGAACTTCTTCACTCAATTAATTACAGTGTGCGCACGTGCATCCATCAGGTAGGGAACCAGCCGCAGTCTTCAAGCAAAACACCCGAGAACGCCACACAAATGGAGCTTGTGTTTGCCAGAGTGGAACATCCAACCTCTCGTCATCGGAAGCAACACACTTAAAACATCGGCCAGAGAACACTAACACAAGTGAACAAGAGGCATGCTTCAGGAACTCCTGCCCAATTTCCCAACATTACGGCAGTAACTATCGTTCAAAAGTACGTCTTGGCTGTGCGTAGCACTAAACTGTGGAAGGAAGTGATTTCGCTGATGCGTAGAAGTATTGCTGGAGTTTAACAACTTGTAATAAAATGTCTTAAAACACTTTAGACAGGTGTCATAAAACAATCTGACACTAGGCCATATATTACGTTAGATGAACACAAGCTCTGTGCTTAATTTTAAGGAACATCTTAAAAAGACAGGAAAGGCTTCAGGATTAAATTGCAGAGCAAGACACCTTGACAGTTTTGAAGGCACAACCATCAGTGGAATCATTAATATTGGGGTCATACAAAGGCAAGGGTTGCAAGAGTGTAGCGATCCTAGTGGATTTTGGGAGTTGAGTAAGTTACAAATACAGGGAAGGGTAAGGCCATGGAGGGATTTGAAAACTAGAATGAGCGGTTTAAATTTGGGCTTCAGTTAAGCCATGCCTACGTAGTCAGCAATGATGAATGGAAATGCACAAAAATAAGAACATAGTCAGCAAGAGTTCTAGGAACTGGTTAAAATCGCAGCCCATTTGTACCGAGCCTTGGTAAACACTGTGCTGCTCCAACTTGAAACAGTCCAACCTAGTAGGAATATCTTATCTTGCAGTGCCTGGAAACCTCCTGTGATAAGACAGGACCACAGCCCCTAGAAATTAAAATGCTGCCAGAAAGATCACTGCCCGTTCCGTTGCTGTGATACTTACTCAGGAGATGAGGCCACTAAGCCTGCACATGCTTGGCCATCTCAGGAAACCTCCTCTCTAACTAGGCAGACCAAAGGAGGAAGAACTATTTGAGTCAAACAGTCTTTCATTGAGAGGCCTGGAGAGTTTCTTACTCCATTGCAAAGGGAAGGCTAAATACCATGAGAACTCTCGTATGTAGTGCCAAACTGGAGATCAGCAGAGCCTTTTGACCACCATTGATACCCCTTGAGAAATGAAACCAAATTTCTGTTTCAAGGAGAAAGATGAGCTTTCTCTTAATAGTTCAAACAGTACGGCTTGGGTAGACTTAAGATCGAGATAACAAGGTGAGTGTGCAGTGGAAAAGAAAAAGATACAACCAGTTTAAGAACATGCACACACAATCTAGTCACAAAAGGCTATAACAGCCTTCATTTAAGCACAATACACCGACCTATCTCCAGTTGTGACATGGTGTTCTACGTGATATTACTTACGTGGCATGATTCCCTGGCTGGCCAGCTCCTCCCGGGTCCGCCGTTGCTGAAGCTTCAGCTGCAGGACTGTCAGAGAGAGAGAGAGAGGACAGACACGGTTAGTGTTCCCAGCTACGACTGCCAAACAGTAAACTTATTCCGTGCTTTGTGAAAGTTCTCCATTTTAACCTTCACTTTTTGCAGAAGTGGTCACAGATCTAGCATTTCCGCCCAGCTGCTTTTAAGTAGGAAACAGCAAAGACGGCTGTCATTTTGGTAAGCTTGATAATGAAGTTTAAACAGTTCAATTCTTCTCAAAAAAGTGTGGTTTTAAATGGTCTCCTGCCCTCTTTTTGTAAAGAGAATTTCAGCTTTGGAACATATTGCCTGTAAGTAAACCACAAGGCCAAACATACAGGAGTCAGCACCTCAAGGAGTGCAGTGGTGCTGAGTCAGTAATTTAAGGGTCACAGATTACAATAAACTTTCCACAATCTACAAGATGATAGGGAAGGAGAGAAAGGCATCTCTCCACACAATGAGAGATGAACTAGTCTCTCAACATTGCATCTAGTCTCTTCAATCATGGAGGGGGTTTTGGTTCCATTAAGCTGCCTAGAGAATCCTCCTATGCATCAATCACTTTGAGAAGAACTTCCTCATTTCAGCCCTTAATTTGACCCTCAGACTGTCTGACCTTCTAGTCCGCTGTATTAATAGTCATGCCCTAGTTTGAAATTGTAGTCCACGTTGCTCTAGTGTATAAGGTTTACAAAAGCTTGCAGGCTATTGTCTCGGTTGCCTCCTTTCAAATCCAAGAAATGCAAACTCTATCCATTGATAGTTCAGCCAGGACCATGCCGGAGCCTCTTTCCGTGACCACTTCCAGCATCTGAATCACTTACAACTCAACAACCAGAACCAGACAATAAATACAATGGGAAAGTTTGACCAGAGCACTTAGATCACACCTACTTCAGAGTTGCTTCCTGTTAAATATAAAATTTGCTCTACCAAAACCATAAAGCCTTTCAACCTCACTGTGAGCTGCTTCAACACAATCTCTTTCAGTAGTTTTAAAAGCAAAATGGGCATTGAATCCATGCTCAAAGTGGGAGGGAGTCATGGGAAAGAGGAATTAGGAGAGATCATATCAAATAAAAAACAGACCACTCCACATTCTCATGAAAATCCAGTTTTCCTGCTCTATTTACCAGGTAGCCACTGGCAGAAACCCCATTTTTGACTCAAGACCAACTTAAATATCCTCTGATCTTTCACAAACCAGGCCTAGTTCTAGATCAGCAAACTGGACACAAATAAAATCAGCTGCAGTCAGAGATAAAAAGGAGACCAAAATAATTCAAACCACAAATGTTGGTCTCAGTTGATCCTAATTTTAAACTGAGTGAAAACATTTTCACACGATACACATCCAGTGAACAGTTTTCATACCGGATACCATTTAAAATTTACTGTTAAATACATCAAAATATAGGGATATTTTTGTGAGCAAACGAAAGGAAACCTCCAAGAAAATGTTTTGCTTTCCGAAAACCTAAAGGCAAATACAAAGCATGAGAGCACATGCTCAAATTTTACAATTTCTCCCTACCATCTACTTTCCATTCCCGATATCAGATGTGGCATTTGGGAGATGTGACGAATCACAGGGTAGGAAGAAAACAACTACACCGTTTTACAAATCCAGACAGCAGCAGCACACAACAGAAAGATCAACTTCCTATTGGCAGAGGAGGGGGGGATATAAACCAACAGGCAAAGGACAGAAAGTAAATGCATTCACTGTTTCTGTAAAACCTACTTTGACACTTTGAAATACAAACACCAAACTCTGCCCACGATCACGATAAATGAAACAAGCCGGCAGAACATACATCGAAATATAGAAAGGTATACCTGGAAGATAACATTGTACCAAGATCTACCCTGCATTACTAGTTTTAGCACTAAATGCTTTGGCAAAAAAAAACAATGCCGATAGTGAATTAACAGGTAAAGACTGAAAGGTTGCACAAAAATACCAAAGTCAAGAACGGAGATCCTGGAATCTGGTGTCTGTTGCATTTACAGTGCAGTTCCATTAAGAGTCATGTTGGACTTGAAAGGTTAACTGTTTCTCTCTCTACAGGTGCTGCCGAGCCTGTGGAGATTCTCCAGCCCTTTGTTTTTGTTTCAGATTCCCAGCATTACTGTATTTTACTCCTAGGCAAGTCAGTTAACCTCAACTACTTCAATAAAATTGGCCTTGGTGCATCCAAAATGGGAGTAGGTAGGGAAGTAAATCAGTGGCCCTATTTTTGAGCATCCCAGGTTGAAAAACAGATGTATTTCTTCAGATGAAAGCAACTGGCAATCAAAGTTTATTTGGCATATGAAGGACAGAGGGATGAACACCAAGAAAGTAATAGAATGTGCATGCATAAGTTTCAAAACTTATTTCACACAAAGTATGGCTACTTAGGATAATCTAAACTGCCATGTGCACAAATGAATTGCTTGTTTTCAAACAGAACATGCTCAACTAATTTAAATGATCTAAGATGATCAGCCAGGCCTGCAGTGTGATGTATTTATATGCGTTAGAACCCTAACATATTAATACACAAGACAATTTTTTGTGTAGAAAGAAGGAATCTGTATATACATTGTATCCCTTCAGAAAAGGGGCCATTAGACCACCCAATGCTGCTGCATCACCATGGCCATGCCCTGACCAATCAACAACTACCTGCTTGATCTGAGAATTAAGACTGACATTTAACTATTATGAAGAAGGGTCACTGCACTCAAAATATTAACTGCTTTTCCTCCACAGATGCTGCCGGACCTGATGAGTTTCTCCAGCAATTTGTTTTTGTTTGTTTCATATCTCCAGTAAAAGCAGTTCTTTGTTTTAGATTAACCAACTGTCCTTGCTGCATCTCCATGACAAATATGGCCCAGCCTATCAGCACCCTCATGTATAAAATGGTGTTGCTTCTTTATTCAAGTTTGTTTATTGTGTTGCAGTTATGATGACTGTAAGAGAAAAAGCTTCAACTTCTCGTCTCCTCTTAAAGTATATCCTTCACTTACTGATGTTTTAAGCAAAATGCAATCTCCAGTCAGTCCACTTTACTGGAAAAATAATCCCGCTTTAAAAGGATTTTGCTATAGTTTCAGTCATGAGTTCTGTTAGCTGTGGTTCATGAAGGAATACAAAAAACGCAGAGACAATAACAGAAAAAAGTCTCAAGACAGGAAACTTAGTTTATATCAGCAAATGTGGGGAATGAGTTCCAAGCTGTCAAACCCATTCGGAGACTTCACTTGCAGAGCAGGATCCATCTAGCATTGTCTCACTCTCCCATATGTATTCTTCACAACACCCCCAGAACTCATTTACCTCCATGATCCTCACACATAAATGTAACACAAGTCAGTAACTTTTCTCCCCTAGCATGCTCTGCACAAAATGTTTCCTTTGGAACGACAGCAGGGCAATCATCCAGAGATCAACCAACAGTAAAAATGCTACAGTTTAACTCCTGAAATTTGATCTTAACAGGTTCCCTTTCAGCAATCTGACCAGTAGTTGCTGCACACTGAGGGTGCGGGGGAGCAGCATCTACATGTACGGGGCAGGGGGGTGGTGGGGTGGGGTGGGGGGGGGGGGGGGGGGCTTCTTCCCATGGATTGCCATCTGCCTGTGGAGAGGTTCAAATATTCTATTGTTCCCATGAGTGATGTGCCAGCAGTTCTCAACTCCTGGTAGGATTACCCTTGACAATAAGATCGAAGGAGCGGAACCAGCCAAAGCAAATCCAAAACAAGTCCTCAAATGGTGATTCAGGTAGAAAGTATTCATGTGATGTCAACGGCTGTGATGACAGATGAAGGCTACAGCAGCAGGGAGATCCCCAGTCGACATTTCCTTGCCACTGAAACTGGATCATCTTTCTGTCTAGGACTGTGTCTGCTGATGCACAACAGCATTCCCTCATTATATGATGTCCTGCACAAGGTACCTCCCTTTAGGAATTGGGGGCTGTTGCAGGGCACAAGTGAGACAGAGGACAGCAAGAGGGATCACAACTATGTCATCACGGCGATACATGACGTTACCAACCTGCTCTGAGCCTACACTCTAATCTGCCCAGATGAGATGCACGTTACCCAGTTCGGCATTGGGATTCTTCTTCCTCCCCTCTTTTGTTACATCACTGACATTACGAGCAAGTCAAGTGTCAACCATGGGGCAACTCAAGGGTTGACAGTGGTGTAGTGGTAATGTTATTGGACTGGCGATCCAAGGGTTGAGGCAAATAATAACCCATGGAACACTGGTTCAAATCCTACCAAAGAAGTTGTTGGAATGAAAATTCAAATCATAAAATCTGGCATTGAAAACTAGGTTTGTGAAGACCCATTTTGATCATTAGTGCCCTAGAGCTAGTTAAACCTGCATGCGATTCCACACCCCCAGGCAATGCACTTCACTTTTAACTGCTGTCTGAAACGGCCAAGCAAGCCTCTCCGTTCACAGGCAAGTAGGAATGGACAATAAAATGCTGCCTTTGTCAGCCTTGCCCACATCCTATGGAAGAATAAAAGATAAAAAGAGAACACGATCACAGATGTTAATACACATGCATTTTTAAAGAGTGCCTTTAAATGAAGATAGATGCTGGAGTTGTAATCGGAATAAAGCAAGCACCAGGCCAAAGGATAAGATAGCAGGGGTAAACAAAAGATAGGTCATTTAAGGTGACAGAAGTAGACTATAATGCATCAGGACGAAATTCAGCTCATAGTGGAACAGTATATTGAGATTGTGACCAGGGTGACTCAGCCTTGGCATTGGCGAGGGTGGTGGAATCAACGGTGCCGGTGGGAATCCTGAGAGTAGGAGCTGACAAAAGAGTTAGGAGTTAACTGGAGCAAACTGCAGCTTGTCCAAGAAGTGATGCCAAACAGTCTGACAACAGAAAGGAGCCAAGACAGATGATGGCAGTGCTAGGAATACAGACAGGAGCCAGTATAAAGGCAGCATACTGTTTAACACAGATAGTAAGAACTGCCAA